GGATAGTGAGGAGGAGACAGACAAGAGCAACACTGAGGAGAGGAATGCCTTGCTAGTAGGAACCAATGGGAACAGGAGACACCGGCCCCTAAGGCACTAGCTGAAGCTTGGGAGGCAGGCGGACTTACCCTCGGGAGAGGAGAAAGGCCCAGGGTAGAAGACTGGGGAACACCCATATTTGAGGATGAATTGAGATATAAAGCAACAAATGAACCAAGAGAAATTTATGGGAAATAAATTCAGTGACACAGAGATCAAGGTAAGACCCACACAGTCAGTTTTTCACTGTAGTGTTTAAAAGCATACTATAGAGCCTGGGGGTGTCCCTCAGAACTAGTGTGTTGACTAGTATGTGTGAGGTCCTGGATTCAATTCCCAGTACCAGGAAAAAAAAAAAAAAGTGTACAGGAGGCTGAGAGAAAATATTTAACATAATCAACAAACATTCAAAATGTAATACTCCCATAATATATAAAAAGCTCCTGCAAATCAATGGTAAGTGGGACAATCCTACACAAAGGGAAAACAGAAAAGAATTAGTAGCTCGAAAGAGAAAAATACAAACCTCAACCTCACCAGCAATCAAAAAAAAAAAAAATTTAAAAAGTGATACATCATTTCCTGTTATCTAATTGGGAAAACCATTGACTGTGTACCATGCTCAGAGTGAATATACAGATTACAGGCCCTTTGATAAACTGATGATGGGACAGTAAATTGGCACCATGTTTTTGAAAGTCAATTTAGTAGTATTTATCAAAATTTAAATGTACACAAGTATCACCCACCAAAATTATACCTGAGCTGCAGAAATACTCATACAAGTTCCCAAAGGATGTTCATGGTAAGAACCTAAATACTCATCTATAAGGCAATTATCAAATAAATGATGCCTACTCTGGCTATTGTGTAGTCATTGAAAAGAATAAGATGGATCTATAGGGGCTGGGGTTATGGATCACAAGTAGAGCACTCGCCTGTCACGCGCAAGGCCCTGGGTTCGATCCTCAGCACCACATAAAAATAAATAAATAAATAAATAACATTTTTGTGTCCAACTACAACTACAAAAAAATAAGTATTAAAAAAAGATGGATCTATATATACTGATGTAGAACAGATCCATGAGGCATTGTTAAGTATAGAGCAATCGAATTAATAAAAAATATCTTCATTTATTAAAGAAAGAAGGAAGAAAAATATATGTTTGTGTTTGTATGAAGGAAAATCTGGAAAGTTCTACAAGAAGCTATAGAGAGTCATTTCCTTGGTGAAAGATATGGGTGAACAGAGAAAGGGAAAGGATCGGAAGGGAGACTTTTAAGTTTGACTTTCTATGCTTTTTCTATTGCTTGTATTTTTTATAATATGCATTGCTTTATTTTTATAATACTAAAGCAGTTCAATTTAAGAAAAGGTTTACTGGGTTCAGCAGCCCAGCTGCGGCTGGCAACCTTAGAAAAAGCTGTTTCAGTGGAGTGATAGGAAGGAAGCCTGCTGCAGGATTCATTGAGGAGGAAACAGGAGGTGAGGAAGCCAAGGCAGCAATTGCTATTTTTTGCACTAAATTTGCCCATGAAAAGGAGAATACAGCGGAATAGAAGGTCAAGGGCTCCCAGGATGGAGAAAGGTGAGAAATTGAGAAAGACATAAGCAAGCTCAGAGCAGAAGGGAAGGAGTCCTTGAGGGACAAAGGGGACAGAAGCCAGGATCCTCAGAGAATGGGTGAGGCAATGGATCCCCCAGCTAGGGGAAGGGTTGTCAAGAAACAGCAGAAGGAACACTTTGTGCTGACCCTCTAAGAAAGGAAGAAGCTGTTCATGCAAGTTCAGGCTGGCAGCTGCGGGGAAGCGCGCCTGCATCTTCCCTGTTGAAAAGGAGGTGCGGACTCAGCAGTCCGAGAGGCAGACCTCCACCTTCAGGCTGGCAGGCTCTCCGGGAGCCATTAGACAGGAAGGAGTGGAAATTCCCAGAGCTCATCTCAGAATCACCAGGTGGGACCTTCGCCTGGTGTCAGAGTCCTGGGACACCTCGCCACTCCTCTGTGGGACATCCCTCCTGGTGAGGCTCTGCGCGTCCTTCTGGGCAGCCAGGTCAGAAGTCTCCCATGAAGCCTGCTCCACTTTCTTCCTGTCCAACAGCCCTGCCTGCTACCAAGCCTTGAGTCACAGCAAGGGTATCAGGGGCCACTTCAACTACAACAGCTGCGTGGAACAGCTGCAGGTAGGTGAGCTGTCTGGTCTCAGGGCTGCTAGGGACATATTTCTGACAGAAGGGACCTGGAAACTTCAGCCCTTCCCTGAGGTTGTTAAGAACTGGGGTGAAGAATTGCAGGACTTTAGAGTTCAAATCATTGAGTCTTTGCCTAGACGGTGCCAGAACTTTGCGCAAAATGAACGTGTTTCCATCTGTCCTGTCCAATATGATAGCTACAAGTCTCATGTGGCTACTGAGCACTTGAAGTGCATCTAGTATAATCAAGGAACTGAATTTTTCTATTTTATTTTAATTAATTAACATGAAATAGCTACATGTGACTATAACCACCATCCTGGATAGGGTATAACTGGAACAACCTTCTCATCTTTCAAAGGATCACCCAAGGCCCAGAAAGAAGTGACCTGTCCAAGCTAACCCTGACCATTAACAGCAGAAGCAGGACAGAAGCTTTTTTTAAAAAAACATTCCCTCATGCATACTCATGTGATGGGATCCATGACAATGAAACCAACCTAAGAGACATCAAGAAGTGGGCCACCTGGGAAATGTCCAGTCTGGCACCCCCCCTTTTTTTTTGGTACCAGGAATTGAACTCAGGGGCACTCAACCACTGAGCCACATCCCCAACCCTGTTTTGTATCTGATTTAGAGACAGGGTCTCACTGAGTTGCTGAGCACCTCGCTTTTGCTAAGGCTGGCTTGGAACTTGCGATCCTCCTGTCTCAGCTTCCGAAGCCACTGGGATTACAGGCATATGCCACCACACCTGGTCTGGACCCCTTTTGGCACCATAGTATTTGGTTGTCTGGGCCAGAGAAGTACCTAATCCAGCTGAGGCCAGGATCCAGCTCCTGTTACATCAGACAGAACACAGGACTTGAGAGCAGATTAAAAAAAAAAAAAAGTTTTAAAAACTGCTTAAAACCCTGTTCAGCCACCTCATTCTAAGTAAAGTCTTAAGCTCTTAAGAGTCTTAGTTTCCACATTCAGAAAGTGCCGAAAGTGCTGACTTCATGGGGTTGTAATGAAGATTAAAAGATACAATTCTGAAAAGCACTTTGCCCTTGAAGCTAGAACCCAGTAGGCACTCAAGATTATGCTAATTGACCATAGTTGTAGACAGATGCAAATTCAGATGTACATGGGTGTCAGTCTTCAAAGCAGGTTTGCTGCTCTCCCTGGACTGGGGATGGAGTAGAAGAGGCATCATGTCATCCATTAATAAACTAGTTCAATAATAATCATCTTAACAAGAAAATCTAACAGTGTGCTCTGTGTGTGTCCCAAATGCTTTGTGGGTCATCCCTCATGCCATCTTCTTCACAGCCCAATTGGTTGGATTCTACTATTGGCCCACTTCACATATGAGGAAATTGAGATTCAGACAAGGAAGGTAACTTGCCCAGAGTTGCTCACCTGGCTAAGCAACTCTCGTCTGCCTCTCTTCATGTGTAACAAGCCTCTGTCTGGTTTTAGCATCAAATGGCCAAGTGGCATTGCGTTTTCACTAACTTGGGAAAGGGAGAGGTGACAAATACTGAGGACTGTTTGGTGAACATTGGACCCAAGGGTCCTTTCCTTGGGATAGGTCACCTAAATGAGTCGGTTAGGGGCTATGAGTACTCTCCAGGCCCAAGAAGCAAGAGGACAGGGTAAGAGGAGGTGGGGGACTTGAGACCTTGTTCACTGGGGTGGGGGAGATGGGAGGGAGCAGGAAATGAATGTTATATTTAGTAGCAAGTGGAACAAAATGTATTCTCAGTGGCACTCAATATTTTTCAAAAATGTGTTTGAACTTGGGTGATACTTTCACTTTTACCAAAAGGTTGTCTTTCCAAATTAAAGGGTGTTGGCTCAAAGGGCAGGATGGGTACCGATACAGATTTGGGACCCTCAAACTCATTGTCTAGTGCATAAGACAATAAAGAACAGAAACCCCAAAAGTTGGGCTTGTGGTCAGAGCAGATGGTTGGGAGGGGGGCCAAAGATAAGAGAGGTAGGAACCGCCCTTTCCTTGGGGTTGAGGATTCTTTAAAGGTCATGGCATGGAGAAGTCCGTGAGGTTTTGATTCTGGAGGAGACAGAAAACAAGAAGGCTTAGGTCCAGGGAGAAAAGCTACCAGACTCACCAAAAGCTCAGGTTCTATCTCTGCTGATTTCTCTGGAGATGGGAAAGAGCCAGGAGCGGCCAATATCATGGCAAAGGAGAGAGAGAGAGCAGAGTGGTCCTAGGCAAACCCTCCCCCTGTCTGGGACTCACTCATCTCCTCTGTGAAATAGCAAGACAGGCACAGAGACCCACAGCTCCCCCCCCCCAGTATGAATTCCATGAGGCCATCAATCAACAACATATCCAAGAGCTAATCCGGAAATTTATTATTCAAAGACATTAAAGCATCCCGCACCCTCAGGAGCTCCGCCCCTGACTTGAGCAATCCCATCCACCACTCACTTCCTCCGGTGCGTCCTCACCACCACCTCCTTCTCATAGGTCACAGCTGTCCTCCTGGAGGTGTCCCACAGGTGGAAAGTCCAGCAGCCCGGTAAGTCTTGGAATACCTACCCTCCCATGTCTCTCCTCTCTGACCCCACACTCTGGGGCATCTCCCCCTCCCCCTTCTCCCTCAGCCTCCTTTTTCTCTTGCTTTAGGCTTCCCTGTCCCCAAAGGGAGAACTTCTGCCTGCTTCTTACAACCCTCTTCAACAACCACTCAGGGCCACTTCCAACCCACCTCCTTCCTTGGCCCTAGAGCCTTCCAGAACCAGCAGCCTTCCCTGCTCTTCTAGGACAGGGTCTGAGCCTGGGATGGACACTGAAACCAGCATTTGTGGACTATATTTATAGAGAAGGAATGCTGGGATTGTAGGAAAATGCCTGCATCTTTTGTCATTGTTTAAAAAATTTTCCCTTAAGCATTCGGGATCTTGTCAATTCCCCTGTGCTGTTGCGTTTGTGTGTAGCTCATGGGAGGTCATCCCACCCTTGGAGCTTCTGAACTACCTGGTGGGAGTCACCAAGGGGCTGCTGTTTCGGTTCCAGCAGGGGAGCTCCCACTGGGTCACAGAGAACATGACTGGGCGCTCAGTAGAAGCCAGCAAGTTGAAGGGTGTTTGGTTTGTCATTCTGAAATGGGGTATTTCTTTAATTGGGGGCTTAAGGAACAGCAAAAGATGGCAATGCACAAAATTCAGGCAGTGTGAGTGAACTATGCCCAAGAACTTAGCCACATCTCAAGAAATTAACTTATAAATAAAGGCTTTGGGGTGTAGCTCAGTAGTAGAACACATGCTTGGCATGTGCAGGGCCAATCCTGCAAACAAACAAACAAACAAACAAACAAAACTACTTAGCTTAGAAATATGTTTAAAATATGAGATGTGATTTTTTTTTTTAAAAAAGAAGCAGTGTTATAGACTGAAAATAATGCAAGTTGAGCCATTTAATCTAGTTGGAATCCTAACTAGATCCTTACTGGCCCTTGCTGAGCCTCTCGGCCTCAGTCTTCTCACCAGTAAACATCATAGCCATTTGTAATGACCAAGGGCAACTGCATACCTGTGAGGTACAAAGCAGACCTCAGCTGCACCTTCCCTGAGGCTGACCCTTTAGCCACCAGCCCAACCTCTAAAGAATGGTAAATGAAAAAACAAACACCAGCAACAAACATCCTCCCCAGTCCCCAGGACTGGAGGCCACTGGCCTGTCATGGTTTTCTTTTCTGACTTTTGGACCATCCATCCTGACTTGCATGGTCTCCCCCTGGGATCCTCAGGCCAGCCCTGGATGCCCGGGATGGTGACCTCACCGTATCCCTGCCGTCCAGCTGAGCGCTAGCTGGTTGAGAAGGAGGACTTACCCAAGCAACACATGCTGCCACTGCTGCCTGTTCTTGTCAGCTGATCTCTGCAGCAGCCCCAGCCCCGCTTCTCACTGCTGGTGCCCATGAATGGGGAGGCTTGCCCTCAAAGCGCTCTGCACCCGCCATGCTCTGCATTCACTCTCAAAGGTGGTTCTCTTCTTGTTCATTTGTTTCCTTAAAAAGCATCTTTGAGGGGCTGGGGGCTCAGTGGTGGAGCACTTGCTCTCACGTGTGAGGCACTGGGTTCCATCCTCAGCACCACATACAGATAAATAAACAAAATAAAGATATTGTGTTCAACTATAACTAAAAATATTTTTTAAAAGCATCTTTGATTTATCTGCTCTTAGAGGTGACCCATCTTTAACCTCATGACTTCCTTGGGCTTAGCTCTGATGAAACTTGCTCTTGACCTTGGTACTTCAGAGCCAGCAATTTCCTTTCAGGTCTTGCGGATCTTGCTGGCCCAGCCAGCAATACAACCTTCCTCTCCCACGGCCTCCCACCCTCCCTGCCAGACAGGGCCCCACCCACCTCATGACATTTTTTTAGGTTCACGGATTGATTGAATCTTCTCTCTCCCTGTGCAGATCTTAGAGCGCTGAAGGCAATTTGTCTGTCCCCTCTCTCTTACAAGGGAAATAATACCTTCTCAGGGAATGAGGGTTAGGAATTCCATCACTCTTTGGGGAAAAAGGCATTATTTTTCCAGCTTCTTTTACTCTAACTCAGCTTTCTTCTTTGCTACATATGACTTGACAGAGATTACCTTCTGCAAAGAGAAACGCTTCCTAGGACTTTGATTATCGTCATCATTTTAATATTGGTATTTGCTTTGTAAGACAGGATACTCTTTGGTTAATCTTTTTTTTTTTTTTTAATTTGAGATGTAATTCACACAGCACAAGTCACCCATGTAGAGTGTATAATTCAGGGGGTTTTAGTATTATAACACTATTGCTACTCGTTTCAAAATACTTTCATCACCTTATAAAGAAACTCTGAACTCATTAGTATCCTCCCTCCCTCAGGCTCCTGGCAATTACTAGTCTATTTTCTGTCTTTATCAAATTGCCCATTTTGGCCATTTCACAAACAAGGAATCATAGAGTATGAAGCCTTCTGTGTCTGGCTCTTTTCACCGAGAATAATGTCTTGAAGCTTCATCCATGTGTGATGTATCAGTGCTTCATTCTTTCTTATGGCTGGATAATATTCCACTGTATGGATATATTTCAGTTTATTTATTCATTCATCCATTGATGAACATTTAGGTTGTTTCCACCTTTGGGAAATCATGATAAATGCTGCTATATACATTGTGTACAAGTTTTTGGCGAACATAAATTTTCAGTTCCTTTGGGTCTATACCTAGTATGGGAATTGCTGGACGACATGGTTTAGCTCTCTGAGCAAATGCTAAACTGCTTTCCAAAGCAGCTACACCATTCTAAATTCCCAGCAGCCATGTACAAGGGTTCTGATTTCTCCACATCCTTACTGTCCATCTTTTTAAAATTATGCCCAGTTTAATAAGTATGAAGTGCTTCCTGGAACTTTTTACTCCCTGATCCTTCTCTAACACTGGGTTCCATCTGGGGGTAAGTTACAAGCTTGACTATGGCCATAGGTTGTAATTCGCTATAAAGAAGTGGAAAGACGGTGATCTATGTTGTGATTTCAGAGGAAGCTAAGTTGGTAGCTGGTTTGCTTTGGATTGTCTCTTCTTGGAAAACTGGGATAAGATTTCCCCAAAATCTAGACCTCTGCTGTCCCCATAGTACGGGCAGAGCCCACAGAGGAAGACTAACTCTACAGGGAACAGAGGAGCCGGAGATGGAGGAAGGTGCACACCAAAGGACAGATGGAATAGTGTGTCTCCACCTGTCTTCTCTATTTCCTGACATCCCTGCCTTTTATTCTGGGAGCACAATACTGGCACACCCCTACAGGACAGAATATGGCTGCCTGGAGCTCTCCAAGTAATGTTATGTCTCCATCCACTCGGAGAACTAGGCAACCACCAGCCTATCATTTTTAATATATTTTTAAGCTATACATTCTCCCCGGTCTGACTTCCTTCCTCCCAAAAGAGAAATGCTGGACCTCTTTTTTTTCCCCCAGTACCACGGATTAGACCCAGGGCTTTACTATAAAACTGACAGATGAATCCCTTTGTTTAGCTAAGCAAGTTCTCTACCCCTGAGTTACATCCCTAGCCCCTTTTCAAATTTTATTTTAAGGTAGGAGTTCACTAAGTTGTCAGGCTGGCCTCAAATTTGCAATCAATCCTCCTGCCTCAACCTCTAGAGTAGCTGGGATTACAGGTGTGCATCACTGTGCCCAGCTTAATGCAAAGACTAATTAACTGATTTAAAGTTTGTTCTAGCCCAAGCCTTCTGAACTTCCATGCTGCTGTGATTCAAATGGTCTTTCCATCTTGCTTCTTTGAATCCATGCATTTTGATGAATTTCTAAGTTTTCAAAATGAATTAATAAATAAAATTAGTTAAAGAAAGCCAAATAAAGGGATTCATCTGTCAGTTTTATAGTAAAGCCTTGATCTTGGCCTGCTTACTCCTGAACATTAAGAACTGAAGGGGCTGGGCACAGTGGCACCCGCCTGAAATCCTAGTGGCTTGGGAGAAGAGACAGGAGGATCACAGGTTCAAAGCCAGCCTCAGCAACTTAGCAAGGCTGTAAGCAACCTAGTGAGATCCTATCTCAAAATTAAAAAAAAAAAAAATTTAAAAAGCGGGGACTGAGGATGTGGCTCGGTGGTTAAGCACCCCCTGGATTCAATCTGTGGTACCAAAAAAAGAGAAAGAGAGAGAGAGAGAGAACTGAAGGGCATCTCACATTTACAAATGTTAAATATCCAGCCTCAATAACCAAACTTGTTCACCACTGAGGGACCCAAAAAAGGACTCTATATGCAAAGGAAAGTTTCAACAAAGTTTTGGGTGATAGCAACGTTGTGGAAAATGCCAAGAATTTTTCTCTAATATTAAAGGAAACTGTAAACATTTCATAAAGTGTACTATATACTTGTCTCATAGCCTTACTTCTCCTATTATTTACCAATTTGAAGTGAAAGTTATTTCCATGTAACTTGCAAGCCAATGCAAAAGAATCCTTCCTCTCTTAATTTCTTGTGTGGGTGGGCAAAATCTTGTGGGAATGGGGAGACTTATGTGCAATAACCCTTTTATCTCCTCTCTAGGCAGGATTTAGATTTATCTCAAAATGGAAGGATTCAGTTGGGAGAATTACAACTTGGACGATATCTTAGATGAATTATATAGTAATTACAGTTATGGCACTGGCCTGCCCTCTATCCTACCAGATTCTGCCCCGTGCCGGACAGAATCCCTGGAAATCAACAATTATGTTGTGGTCGTCATCTACATTCTGGTGTTCCTGCTGAGCTTGCTGGGAAACTCCCTGGTGATGCTGGTCGTCTTATACAGTCGGAGCACCTGCTCTGTCACCGATGTCTACCTGCTGAACCTGGCCATGGCCGATCTGCTCTTTGCCCTGACCTTGCCTATCTGGGCAGCCTCCAAAGTGAAGGGCTGGATTTTTGGCACAGGCCTGTGCAAGGTGGTCTCATTCCTGAAGGAAGTCAACTTCTACAGTGGTATCCTGCTACTGGCCTGCATCAGCTTGGACCGCTACCTGGCCATCGTCCACGCCACACGCACACTGATCCAGAAACGGCACTTGGTCAAGTTTGTATGCTTAAGCATGTGGATACTGTCTATGATTCTATCCCTGCCTATTTTAATTTTCCGTAAGGCTGTCTACCCACCCAATTTCAGCCCAGTGTGCTACGAAGACATGGGTAACAGTACAACAACATGGCGGATGGTGTTGCGGATCCTGCCCCAGACCTTTGGCTTTGTCATACCACTGCTGGTCATGCTGTTCTGCTATGGCTTCACCCTGCGCACCCTGTTTAAGGCCCACATGGGGCAGAAGCACCGGGCCATGAGGGTCATCTTTGCTGTTGTGCTGGTCTTCCTGCTCTGCTGGCTGCCTTACAACCTGGTCTTGGTTGCAGACACCCTCATGAGGACCCACTTAATAAAGGAGACCTGTGAGCGCCGCAAAGACATTGATCAGGCCCTGGATGCCACGGAGATTTTGGGTTTCCTCCACAGCTGCCTCAACCCCCTCATCTATGCCTTCATTGGCCAAAAGTTTCGCCACGGACTCCTTAGGATCATGGCTACCCATGGCCTGGTCAGCAAGAAGTTCTTGGCCAAGGAAGGCAAACCTTCCTTTGTTGGCTCTTCTTCAGGGAACACTTCCACCACCCTCTAAGACTGCCTGCCTAAGTTGCAATCCTGGGGGGTCCCACCGTTCCCTTCAGTGTGACAGATATCTAAGCTGCATGTGGTGGTATCCACATCAGTGCGTAGCCCCTCCGTTGTGGTGACAGGAAGAGCATGGCTTAGAAATCCTGTCCTGGTATTTCACTCCTCTCCATAATTATATGCTAACTGTTAGAGCTGATCCATCCTACAGCTGGACCCAACACACTGTCTTCTAAGAAGCACAAGTCAAAACTGCAGTGAGATACTACACAGCACCCATTTAGGATGTCCATTATCAAGGAAAAAAGCACAAGACAAATTAGCAAGTGTCAGCGAGGATATAGAGGAACTGGAAGTTTCATGCACGGCTGGTGAGAATATAAGATGGCACACCACTCTGGAAAGCAGCCTGGCAATTTTCCATAAAACATTAAACATAAAATTACCACATGATCCAGAAATTCCCTTTCTAGGTATGTACCCAAAAGAATCAAAAGCAGAGGCTTGAACAGATATTTGTGCACTGATGTTCACAGCAGCATTATTCACAAGAGTCAAAAAGTGGAAATAACCCCAAGGCTCATCAACAAATGAATGGATCAACACAATGTGAAACATACATACCATGGAATATCACTTGGTAATTAAAATAAATGGCGGACTCATACATGTTCCAGCGTGGATAAGCCTTGAAAACGTTATGCTAAGGGAAATAAGCAAGATACAAAAAGGGACAAATATTTTGATTCTACTTATATGAAATACCAGGAATAGTCAAATTCACAGAGACAGAAAGTAGAATAGTGGTTACCAGGGGAGGGAACATAGGGGATTTATTGTTTAATAGGTCAGAGTTTCAGTTGGGGATGGTGAAAAAGTCCGAAGATGGACAGTAGTGATAGCTGAACCATAATGTGAAAGTAATTCATTCTGCTAAGCTACGCATTAAAAATGGTTAAAATGGGGGTTGGGAGTGTAGCTCATGGGTACAGTGCTTGCCTAGCATGCATGAAGCCCTAGGTTTTATCCCAACACCTGAAAAAAAAAATGTTAAAATGGTACATTTTACCTCAATTAAAAAAATAAAAAAATGCTGAGCCCAAACGGCACTTTAACCACTGAACCGATGATGGAATTATCTACCTGTAATTTCTTGTAAAGTGAGATTATTAAATATCTTTTTTATAAGCTACTTTTTGTGGGGTATTTATTTCATTACTTCCAACCAAAGCATGTAAACTGCTACATGTAGGGATGAGCCAACATCCCGAGGGAGGGCGTTTCCAGAAATAAATCCCTTTGCTGGCTACTGGGTCCATGGAGAGAAGGCTGGGAAGAGATGGAGCCTGGTCTTCCACCCCACATGCCCAGCCAGCTCAGGCCCCCTGCTGCTGAACATGGCTCATCGGAAGAAATATGTTCTGAGATCCTCAGGGCTCCTCAGGGCTCCTCGGGTCCTCGGGTGACACAGGAGTCAGGAGCGTTGGGAATGGGTCTTTGGAGGTGCACAATGCTGACCCGACTGGGCTCAGGAAGGCAGGGAGCTCTGGGTGAAGCAACAGCTCCCACCGTGAGACTCCCTCACACTCTCCTTTCTCCTTTCCAAGGCACACCCTCATCATTCAGGGTGTGACAAAACAGTGCCACTACAGAATGGGGAAGTGATTTATAGTCTGTCCTACGTTGGAAATAAAAACCAGAATCAATATTCAGTGTGTATTGAGTGCTTGCTGTGGCAGGGAGTTGGGATACAGCAGCGCCCCAAACAGCCCTGCCCTGGCCGAGCTCACTCTCACAGGGCTGGTCTCTGAAAGGGTCTTTGACAAGAGGGGCTCTGGCTCTGAGCAGCCTGTTAAGAGAATCAGAAAGCAAGAGGGATGGAACTCCCACTGTCCCAAGCAGCACTTCCTATTAACCACAGTCCAGGAGCCGGCAGCGAGGCAGGAGCAAAGCTCTGGGCTGGGGGCTCAGAGCAGGCACTTCCACCGTGATTCATGAAAGTGCTTTTCCTATTGCATTCAGCAAACAGGATTAATGCAGTGTCAACAGTCCCTTGTCCTGAACTCATTCTGTGCCAGGTACTGTGCCAGGTACTTAGGAGCAAGCGTGACTCAGAGGCTCCTCTGATTCAGTAGGACGTCACCTATTTACCAAACAGCCCAGTTGCCCTAGGGACCAGTGCTGTTCTGCCTGGGCAAGACGGCCAGCCAGATGGCTCCCTGAGATGACTCTCCAAGGGAGGAGGCCAAATTAGGTTTCACTCTTATTCCAGGACCCTTCTCTCTGCTCCTCTAACAAGGCCTGGAGGAAACACGGTTCTCCAAGGAAACCAGAAGGTGCAATGAGCCCAGAGAGACGGGGGCTGAGATTAAGTTGCACTTATGTGGATTCTGGATGTTTATCCCAGTGTCTCTCTGTGTCTCTCTCCCTCCCTCCCTCCCCCCCACCCTCCCTCTCTTCCATAAGAACATTCTTGGTACAAATAGTTTCGCAGCCAAGTCACCACTAGGACAGGGCAAATCCAGAGCTGCCTTTGAGTTATTATTTCCTTTCTTTCCTCCCTCATTCCTGGGCCTGAGTCCCACTGTCTGAGGGTTCAGTTCTGAGCCTAGATCTGCCTGCTCCAAACTGGCCTTTCTAGCTTATGACATAGTTCCTCCACTTGCCTAACACCTGCTGTCTTCTTTATCCATCTTCCTGAATCAATAATACCTCTCCCCACCACAATCCCCAGTCTCTGCAAGACGGATTCCATTTTGTTCATTAAATCAAGACAAACTCCTGTCTAGTTTAGGGGACATTAAGAAGTGCCCCTAGTTTACGTGTCACGTTAAAACTCACCGTGTGCAGACCCACATGGAGACCCATCACACCATGTAATAGTAGAGTTAAAAAGGCCTAAGAGTCTCAAAATAAAACACAAGGAAAAAAAAAAAAAAGCCTAAAGGTCCCCAGGCCAACTCTTTCTATACGTAAGTATAGGAGCAAAGGTCTAAGCAGAGCAAACTGGCCAAAATGTCATGGCTGGATAGTAGAATTGGAATAAAAATTCCAAGTTCCACTCATTTTTTTTTTAAATCTTATTTTTGCTTTAGTGACAGTGGCATTTCAGGCAGCTGAGAGCTGGGTGGGAAATTGTATGTGACCTTCTCAGAACATTGCACTCATGGGTATAGGACCTGTGTACTTTTACTGTGCCTGCACTCCTTGGGCCCTGGAGCTGGGTTATTGGGTCTCCATCGTCCTGATGGATGTAGGGATCAGCAGAGGCTGAGGGGCCTGAGGAGTGGCAGCAGGCCATTCTGAGCTGGCAGGCAGGACAGTTAAGGAGACTATCAGAGTTCAATGCAAAATTCAAAGACAGGCAAAACTGAACCCTCTTTTGAGGACACGTACTACATCAGTCAGGGCTCAATTTGAGACAGAGCCACTAGCAGGTAGGATTTGTGATGGAAAGTTGATACCATGCAATTGTGGGCACTGGTGAACCAGACTATGCCAGGTTATTGACTTTGCTTCTGCGAGGACCTGAAGCTGGCAGGACAGACAGCCTGAAAGCAAAGATGGACATGAAGTGGGGAGTGGGGAGTGGGGAGGGTGAGCTGGAGCCTGCTGAAACTGGCCTTGGTCCAAGTTCAATGTGTAGATGGCACCAAGGTACTGCGGCCCCGGCTGCTGCCCCACGCCTACAAGACAAGCCAGCAGGTAAGCAACAATGTGCGACCGTCGGGTGCCTTGCTCTGACCTTCCAGAGCTTGAAACATGTGCAGATACTACTCCTCTCCCACCTGCCAGGTCTCACATAGAAAATCTGCTGGCCCACATCACCTGCAAGTACTGCAGGGAGAGAATTGAGAGGAACAGTTCCATTTTAGCTAAGTGGATGCCACACAAAGCCTCCACACAACACAGATGCAAGTGCCAAAGAAAATGGGGTGTAGGAGGCAAGTGCCAGCACCCTCAGGAAACATTTACTGTAGGAAGAGGCAGTCAGGGCTTTTGAAGGCACTGATGGATGTCTGAGATCGAGGCATTATCCTAGTCTTTAATCTTGTTTTAGATGTAAGTTTTCTGTAGCAGGTAGTATGTATACTACTCATCTTAAGAAAATTTTTAGTCATTAATATAAATGAAAAATAAGGAGAAAGTGACCAGAAGGACAAAGGACAATTTTGGGAATTAATGCAGGGATTTGAGTCCAGGCTTTACATCCTGGAGCTTGGGGGTCAGAACAAACCAGATTGAAAGATATTATCACCCACAGCTGGTAGGACAGTAAATAGGTGTGATCTTTGGAGAAGACACTTGATATCTTACTTGAATGCACAGGCTCTCTGACCCAGGTATTACACTTTTAGAAATCTGTCTGGCAGAAAAACCCACATGGATGGACACATTATAAAAGCCAAAGCTTAGAACCAACAGTAACGTCCATAAATAAGGAACTGCTTCAACTCTGAAGGTATGTTCATACCACAGAACACACTGGACGTGGTGGTCAGCAGCGAGGTTGCAGCGAGCATGCTAAGTGAGAGAAGCAGGGAAAAAGATCATGTGAACCTTGATTGCATTTATACAAAATGTCCAGAGAAGACAAGTTTACAGAGACAGAGAGCAGGTAAGCGTTCACTCGGAGCAGGCAGAGCGAGGGCAGGGGGACATTGACGGCAAACAAGCACAATGGGTTTTCTTGAGGTGATGGAAATATTCTAAATCTGGATTGTGGTAATATTTACACAACTGTGTAAATTTACTAAAAATCACTGGCTTGTGCTACAGTTTGAACATCTGTTCAAGAGTCATGTTGAAATTTAATTGCTATTGTAACAGGACTGAGCTGGAGGCTTTAAGAGGTGATTAGATTATATGGGGTCTGCCCTCATTGGCAGGTTAACACCACTAGCTCCGAGTGAATTATCCTGGGAGTTCCTGATTAGAAAGATGAGTTCTCCTGGCTTTCTCTCTGTCTTGCATATGCTAGCTTACCCTTCTGCCATGTCAGGACACAGCCAAATGATCTTCAAGCTAACCAGTCCATGACATTTTGTTACAGCAGCAGACAATGGACTAAGGCAGATTATATACTTAAAGCAGATTGTGAATCTTATAATATACCTTAGTAAAGCTGTTTTAAAAATAATCTTAAATAATGAAGTGGGGCTGGGTGTAGCTCATTAGCAGAATACATACTAGGCATGTGTGAAGCCCTGGGTTTAATATCCAGCACCAAAAAAATTAAATTACAATATAATAAAGTAAAATAATGTAGTTTTATGAATGATGTAGAAAGATCTTCAAGAAATAATTTTGAGCAGGGAGCAATGACACATGATTATAATCCCAGCAACTCAGGAAACTGAGACAGGAGGATCACAAGTTTGAGGCCAGCCTCAGCAATTTAGTGAGACCCTGTCTCAAAGTAAAAAGTAAATAAAAAAAAGAAAGAACTGGGAGTATAGCTCAGAGGTAGAGCACCCCAGGTTCAACCCTCATACTAAAAAATAAAATTAAGTAAATAATTTTTTTAATGATAAAGGAAGGTAGAACAGCATGTATAGAAAAATGTCTTATTCTTTATACAAAAATTGCTATATGTGAGTTTTAAAGATGTTTAGGAAAATGTCTGGGATGTGTACCTAAGGTATTAATAGGTTTATTGCAAAACAGAAGAATTTGAAGGTGGAGTAACATCTTTTATTAACACATATTTTTGCAT